CCCATTGGGTTATGGTCATGGGTCTGGGGCCACCACCTTCCATTTCCCATTGGGTTATGGTCATGAGTATGGGGCCACCACTGTGAGTTGGTTGGGTGAGGGTACCCCAAAATGGGCAACCTTTTGTTCCCGTGTCAGGGCTGGTGTTTGGTGGGAAATCCCAGCCCAGGCATCCCAGAGGAATATGGGAGAGGTGGGGGGTGTGGGTGGCAGGAAGAGCATGGGAAGACCCTTGGGGGCACAGCTCTTCAGCCACGTCGATCAGTTCAAACACTTCTGCAGTCGGGTAACGTAATTAACGCGTAGTCATAACATCACTGTGAAAAGATCCAATTAGGGGCATTCAAAGGCCTAATCAGGAGCGGTGGTATTCCCAATTCCAGATAGCAGTGACGAGGATGCAGATAGCTCCTGGCTGGATCAGATGGGAGCAACTGGGCGGGCCCACAGCCCAGCGTGCGCTCCGCTTGCTGTTTTCATTAGAAGTCGCTTGATTACAGGAAAACCTTTAGCTATGTCAAAACAAAACAAAGCAAAACAAAAGATCCCCTTCCCACCTCCCCCCGCTGGTGTTTGTGAACTTGGCACCGAGACAGGGCTGAGAGCTGGAAACCTATGGAGGCTTTGGCTTCTCTGCCTCTGGGCTGCAAAAGTTGCTTTAAATTCCACCTAAATTCCCTTTTCTGAGATGAGCTAAGGAGTCTCAGTTCTTCCACGGTGAAAAAGAAACTTTTTCTTCCTCCTGCCCTCATTTTCCATTATTATATTTGTTCTTTACAGTAAGTTTGCACAATGGCCTTGGTCCTGATGGGGCCCCTGGGCAGCTGTCGTGCAACCATAGAAAATAATAATAAACCACCGATAGCAACGGATGGAGGGGCACTTAATAACGAAACAAGGGCACGCATGTTTCCAGCATTGAGCAGCAGCATTGTTTGTTGGGATGTGGGAGTGCCAGGAGCTCACTGGGACTCTTCTAGGCATTTAGCTTCGAAGGGATGTGTGTGCTCCGAGGACCTTGTAAAAACTGTGGTTTTAACTCAGTACAGGAATCCTAAAGAGCTGCTCAGCCTTTGGTGTCCTGGCTGTACAGCAGCCGTGGTGGTCTGAAGGAGATCTGGCCACAGATTTCCCAAGATTTGGCTTCTTTGTGCTGCAGATTTTCCAGTATATTTTTACTTTTTTTTTTTTTCCCACTAATTTCCCATGATTTGGGGTTTTGTATTGAAAAGTTTCAAAGATTTTCTTTTTTTTCCCTCCCCCCACAAATTCGCCAGGGTTTTTGTTTTTATGTTAGTTTGCAGTAGGGTTCACTGCTGAGAAAGGGTCTGGTTCCAGCCATGGCATTGGTTTTCTTGTGGTAGGTGGCATGGGAACATGAGATGAACTCAAAGCAATGTCTTGGGGTATTTGAATCATAGAATGACTGAGGTTAGAGAAGAGATCAGGTGCGACTGTGAACCTATCCCCACCATGCCCACACACAAAGAATGAAGATTGGAAAAGATCTCTTAAGGTCAAGTCCAACCACTGACTCTCCCCATCTTGCCCACTCATGGAGTCATAGGAGCACTAAGGTTGGAGAAGGTCTCTAAGGTCATCGAGTCCAACCGTCAGCCGGTCACTACTGTACCCCTGTGATCAGAGAAACATGAAGCTTGGAGAAGACCTCCAAGGCCATCTGTTCCAACTGCTGGCCCATCACCACCCTGCCCACTCACAGCATTTTCAGGGTCAGGAAAGACCTCCAAGATCCCCAACCCCAGTCTGCCCCCACTGACCATCTCATCAATTCCCACATCTCCACAGTTCTTGGCCACCTCCGGGGCCATTCTTACCCCTCGCTATGCTTGGGGAACAAATGTCCATAAGCAGCATCACTGCATCATTTTTTCCTTCTTTCATATGACCTCCTCTCTCGCCCCGCTGACGCCATTGGCTTTTCCCATTCATTGGTTCAGCGGGAAACACGGGTGCCAAGAAAAGAGGGGAGCAGGGAGGTCCCAGCGGTGGTGAAAAGCAGCACTGGTGGGGCTGGCAGAGGGCCTGGGCCTGTGTGATTCCCATGGCTGCTGGAGCAGACACCCAGCCAAGAGTGGAGCCCGTGGGCGGAAGGCGCTGTGCCGTATTTACACCGCACTGTCCAGAATCCCGGATTACCTAAGCCTTGTCCGTGAGGTCTGCTCACCCCGTGCCATTGAAAACCCGAGTGGGATTCATTCATGAGCTCCAGCCCTCCACAGAGCTCTGTTCATTCATCGCCGGGGCGGTTGGCTTCTGCTTTTTTTTTTTTTTTTTTTTTTTTTTTTTTTTAATGCAATTAAATTACCTCTTTGTACGTCAGGCTGAGCCACTCGTTAAGGGGTCTTCTCAAACGTAAGCACAAACACGGGGTGAAAAAGGCCTTTCTGCCCCTCTCCCCCCCCCCCCCCCCCCCCCCGCCTCCTGAAAGGGATGCTTTTATGTTAAAGAAAATAAACAGAGGGATTTTAGCAGGTCCAACGCCTGCTGCAAAATTCCCTCCACTGCTGTAAAGCAGAACGCGTGCAAGCTGCAGGCACCAGTGGCTGCACTTACTATGGGGGGTGAAGGCAGGGGGGAGTAGGTGGGGGTTGGATTTTTTATATTTATTTATTTTTACAAGCTAGCTTTGCTTTCCCAGCTCTTTAAGCAAACAGCGAGTTAAAACATCTTGAAATATCAAATACAAAATGAAAAAAATGAAAAAAAATTGAAAACAAACCCCTGGGAAGGGTGCGGCAGGGGAGGGTGGGGGGGCACAGCAGCATTTACATCACCCCGCATCATTCTGTTTTTAGGGGGGAGGGTGTGGAAAAACGCACTGCTGGGGGTATTTCTCACTGCTACCCCCCCCGGCACACCTTCCTTTTTGGGCCATGAGCCCCCATGACTGCCAGTGACTGCAGAACTCTGTTCCTTGCTGGCACTGAGAAGAGGAAATGAGCGTTGCACGGCTGCGGCGCTGGAGCTGCGTTTTGTTGTTGTCTTTTTTTCTTCTTGTTTGTGATTAAAAAGAAGGCTGTGCCGGAGGAGCAGCAAGAAGTCGTAGGTGAAAGACACAGAAAATACTGAGAATAGTGATATTAAGTCTTGGGGTGGGCTGTGGGGGAAGAGGGTGCTGCTGGATCACCCCCATGCATTCCTGCAGCGTGGTTGCATTTTGGGTTTTTTTGTTTTTCTTTTTTAAAGTGCAATTATAGAGATGAATGGTTCCCAGGTCCCAACATGCCTGCAAGGACTGGGAGGGATTACAGAGCAGCACCGTGTGCGGATGCTGCATCAAGGAAAGGGGTTTGGTGCTGCTCAGCACCCCTGGCCCCCTCCCCTGGTACTGTAACCCCACTCCAGAGGATGGAGTGAAGACAAGGGCAAAGGGAACCAAGTTTTGGGTGGCTTTTGTGGCTTTTGGGGCTGTTTTTCTTAACAGCATGCAGCTTCCGGCCTCCACCCCACTGCCTTCCACTTGGCCTGGGCTTCCCTCACCTGGCTCTATGAAAGCCCCACAGTGGGGCAGCTGAACCCAAGGGTGGTGTCCCGTGTGCTGCTTTTGGAACCACGTCTTGTTTTATCACACTGGCTCTGCACAATGGGTGGTAATTTGTTCATGGAGATGGGCTGTAGAGTGTTAGGTTGCACCCTTGGTATGCTCAGGGATCATAAAATGATCACAGAATGGTGGAGCCACAGAGTGGGGACCTCAAAGGTCACAGAACTAGAGAGTGGTTGGGTTGGAAGGGTCCTTGAAGATCACAGAACCGGAGAAGTGTTGGGTTGGAAGGGACATCGGAGATTATGGATTGATTGGGTTGGGTTGGAAGGGGTCTTAGAGACCCCCAAATTCCAACCCCTTGCCTTGAGTAGCACCATTTCCCACCAGACCAGCTTGTCCAAGGCCCCATCCATCCCGGTCATGGGCAACTCCAGGGTGCTGAGGTTGTCAGGGTGTGTGTGCAGAGCATTGTGAAAAGAAGGAGCTCATGACATCGCATCACTTTTGGATCAGAACGCCTCCACAGTCCTCAATTTCTCCATCTTTTTGTCTCCCTGTAGATTCCCAAGTTCTACAGGAGTCAGGGGATAACTCACACTGGTGCGTGGTGGCATACTGGGAAGAGAAGACACGCGTGGGTCGGCTGTATTCTGTCCAAGAGCCCTCCCTGGATATCTTCTATGATCTACCTCAGGGGAATGGCTTCTGCCTCGGGCAGCTCAACTCGGACAACAGAAGCCAGCTGGTGCAGAAGGTGCGCAGCAAGATCGGGTACGGCATCCAGCTCACCAAGGAGGTGGACGGCGTGTGGGTCTACAACCGCAGCAGCTACCCCATCTTCATCAAGTCGGCCACACTGGACAACCCCGACTCCAGGACGTTGCTGGTGCACAAAGTGTTCCCGGGTTTTTCCATCAAGGCTTTCGATTACGAGAAGGCGTACAGCCTGCAGAGGCCGAACGACCACGAGTTCATGCAGCAGCCGTGGACTGGATTTACCGTGCAGATCAGCTTTGTGAAGGGCTGGGGCCAGTGCTACACCAGACAGTTCATCAGCAGCTGCCCGTGCTGGTTAGAGGTTATTTTTAATAACCGATGACACGAGACGGAGCGGACTCACGACATTTATACTACTTTGCTGCTATTACTTCCTTCTGAGTGCTTGCTTTTCATGCAACCTTTTTGTTTTTGTTTCGTTTTGTTTGTTGTTTTTTTTTGGGTTTTTTTTTTTTCTCCCCCCTATTTTGAGAAATAGCTTATGGAAAGATTTTCGCCTGGGTATTTTGATAAATAGATCTATTTTTTGAACGTGCGAACGACCAATAACTCGAGAGGAGGGCGCGTGGGGCAGGGAGAGATCGCATATGATCATCATTTCCCACTTCCCAAAGGATTGTTCTATGTGATGGATGGGTCGGGAGCCACTTGCTCTTGGGTAGCGTGAGGGGATCCTTCTATTTTTCACGCCTCCTAGTCCCAATGCTGGTGGCACCCGACCAGTACCCCTGCCCAGCAGTGCTAACCCAACGTAGCCCCACCAATGGTGCACAGACTTCCCACCAGGTCTTACTCCACCCGTGTGGTTTTTGCCATTGGGCCGTTGCTGTTGTTGGGTTCACCTCCTGCCCATCCTTCCCATCCGCCCATCTTTCCGCAGCGTTTTTCCTGTCATCGTGGATTAATACAAGGGGAGAAAATGGCGATGAAGAAACTGTGCGTGGCCCGTGCTTTGCGGTTGGAGCTGAGATGTGACGTAAGCTAGGAGAAGAAACAAACAGACAAACAAACAAACAAACAAAAGAAACAAGCAGCAAAACAAAACAAAAACAAAACAAAAAAATGGGGAATAAAAAAGTGTTGAGGATAGTTGGTCTGTCGGAACCTGTTGGATCAGGTTGCCCCAGCACCATCGTATCTGGAGACGCCGTTGTGCTTTCATTTCTTCTTGAATTCATACACACGTATGATACTTTTACACTGTTCTTAGCTCAATGAGCATGTTTAGACCTTAACATAAGCTATTTTTCTAAATACAAAGGTTTAAATGAACAAGAGAGCATTCTCATCGGAACTTTGGCATCGTAGTGCTTTGGAAAGAAAACACACACACAAAAAAAGGACTCCTTGAAAAAAAACCTGAGATTTATTAAAGAAAAAAAAAATGTATTTTATGTTATATATAGATATATTATTACTTGTAAATACAAAGACGTTTTATAAGCATCATTATTTATGTATTGTGCAATGTGTATAAACGAGAAGAATAAGAAAAGATGCACTTTGCTTTAATATAAATGCAAATAACAAATGCCAAATTAAAAAAAAAAAAAAAAAAAAAAAGAACACGAGATTGGTGTTTTTTTCTATGGGTGTTCTCATCCAGATGAATGTTTTTTGTTTTTTGTTTTTTTTCTAAAGGATTTTATGTTCCATTAAAAAAAATAAAAACGTACACTTGACCCTCGGTGCGGAGTGGCTTTGTTAGAGGTGGGGAGATGCAGCAGGAGGGGTGTTCCTGTTGCTTGCCATTTCAGGTTGAGCTGACCCCCGTGGCAGCAGCCCAGTGTTCTTCCTATGCCATCCTGTCCCTAAAATACGATGGCTTTCATGCCAGCGTATCATCTGGGTTGCTCCACAGATCCATGGGTTTGACTGGAGCTGTGCATCACATCCAACTGGGTCACCCCCATGCATTCCTGTCCCCATGTCCTCAGCAGGAGAGCAGTTCCTTTAGCTGATTGAGCTCCTGCGTTTGGTGAAGGCAAATTTCTGAGTGGAAACCACCGGCCCCGTGGAGCCTGGAGGCTTTGGAGAGGTGCAGCATCCGTGTCTTGAATCCTACTGGCCTTCACGTGGTGGACAGATGTGGTAGAGGATGAGTCTTTGTGAGCATTAAGAGCAGGTTGACCCAGTACTGCCCCTTTCTGTTCAACATTCCCCACCCAAAGGGATTTGTTGAGATACAATATTCGGTCTGCTCTGAATGGACTGTGCCTCATCTGGATTCCTTTCACTGAGCCCACCAACCAGCTTCAAAATAGCTTTGGATCATGTGGATGTACCCACCTGCCTTGCTTGGTGTGCCCTAGAGATGCCCAAGAGGGCAGACATTGGTGTATCTTCGTCTGTGGTACAGTGTGCTTCATTTTGTTTCCTTTCTGTGCCATCGGACTTAAAACACTCAACAACCTCTTGTATGTCCAGTGGTCAGACCAGCAGCAATGATTTGTGTCAGAGGCTCAAGGAGAAATGCGCTGGCCCATTCCATGGTACCTCTCCCCACAAAAAGGCCTCAAAAGTGAAGGATAGAATGGTCATCGTCGTGAAACTCTCACCTCCCCTGAGCTTTGGTAGCATCTACCAGCAGGAGCACGACTGTGCAGACAGCAGGTTGAGGTGTCCTCCTGGGCGCAGTGCTGCTGAGCTGCGACTGCAAGTGTCTCCTGGGGTTGGGAGATCCTCTGCATGTCCCATGTTGTACCTTGTCCTGTGCAGCTGCCTCTTGCAGGAGATGCGCTGCTGAGCTGGCTGGGTCTTTGGTTGGGTTTGGTTGAACCTTTTGTTTGTATCTTTGATTGGAACTTTGGCAGCACTTTTGTTTGGAACTTTGGACCTTTGTTTGGTTGACAGGTTGGATGTCGTGGTGCTGGAGAATGAGCTGAAACACCCCAAATAGTCCTTCATTTTCTGGGTCCTCTGCTTAGACTCGTCTGTGAAAATACTAGACACAGCATCACTGCTGTCTGAAAGCCAAGAGATAATCAGCACAACTACAGCTTTTCAATACTTCTGCAGCTTGAGTTAAAATGTTCCAGACTTCACCTCCTGCTGTGCTAATTTTAGTCCTCTTTCAGTGAAAAAAAAGAAAAAGACAAAAAAAAAAAGTAGAGGAAAATAGTGCCAGAAGGCTGCTGAACACCGGCTCATTTGCTTTCCCATCTGCTCAGCTCTAGGGCTAGGAGATGCAAAGTCAGACACAGCTGTGCAGCCCCTCTGTAGCTCCTTGCGAGCAGTGCCATGTCCTTGCTAATTCAGACATGTCCCCTGTGAATGAGCCCCCCAGCTCCTTGGACACCCATGACAACTGTCCAGCAATGTGGTGGTGGCCCCAGACCTCATATCATTGTGCTCTGCACAGCTTAGCCGTGGTTCCCACTCCTTCAAAATCACCTTACTCAAAGCTCCTGCACTTAAGAGGCTCAGACAGGAGCTGGCTGAGACAGACTCCAATCCTGATCTCTCTTCCCCCACCCCCCCCCCCTTCCCCGCCCCCAGAAAGGGATTAATCTGGAAATTTGGGATGGCTGAAATCAGTCCGTTCTGGTGAGCTGTAATCTTGCTCTGCACCGTGGCTCCAGCTTAATTGGCATTAAAATGTCCTAATGATATCCTGCACCACCGTAAATTACAGCACGATTGCGCTTTTTTTCCCTGCGTTGCCAAGTAGTAATTAAAGAGTGCAATAAAGAAGGGTCAAAGCATGCTGCTTTCCGCTGATATATCATATGTGGAATCTGCTCAAACTGTCAACTGCTAATGAAAGATAGTGCCTGTGATGGGCACTGCAAGAGACAAGAGGGAAAACTCCACTATCTTGAGACCTTTGGAGCAAGTGGTTTCCATGGGGCAGAGCTGTGATCCCTGTTTTACTTGAGTGATGCTCTATATGGAACTCATTCCCCATCTGCCCTGAGGACTCCAAGGAATCTGTGGGCTCTTGTCTCACAGATTATTAACAAGTTCATTGGGTGAAGGGACCCATTTATACATCCACTGAGTGAAGGGACCCACTGAGTCGTCCATTAGGTGAAGGGACTCGTGGAGACACCTGACAGGTGAAGGTATCAGGCTGGGGACAGACCCCTGGTGTCACCAAGCCTTGTGATCCTGAGCTGAGTTTGGTCCCACCTACATCCTGCAGGTGGCCAGATGGGAATGCCAGTATGAATGTGCTCAAAATGTGGGAAAAATCTCATTCCAGCCCCAAAGGTATTTGTCTTGCTCAAAGCTCCTACAAAACTGAGGAGCAGGAGAGTCCCAGATCCCATCACTTGACCAGTGAAGAGACATAACCCATGAACATAACCCATGGGTATAACATATCTCTTGAGGCTCATCAGCTCATTTCAGAGCCAATGTCCAGGGATGAATGGGTCAGAAAACAATCTTCGCCTCCCATCAGCAAGGCAAACTGAGGCTGAGAGCCTGAAAAAGGAGGAAAACTGAAAAGATCCCCATTGCAACCAGGTGCCCAAGCAGAAATCTGGTGTTAAGGCATTCTCTGAAGCATGGGTGATGTAAGTGAATCCAAGTTTCTTGGTTGCAATGGGAGCGAGGCAGCAATGTGTGGACAGAGTTCATGGATGTGGGGCTGTGGGCAATGAGTCGTTGGGTTCTGCTGCAGAACCAAAGGGCACAAAGCACTCATGCGATGAACCTGAGCCTCCGGGGATGTTTTGTGATGGATCTTTTGCACTGTCAGCCCTGCTGCTCCTGCACCAAAGCTCAGGGAGGGGGGGGGGGGTGGTCAGGTTCTGGAGATGAATTTTTCACCTGATGTATATTCTTCCTGCAGGAAGGCAGAGCTCCAGGTTGGGATCTGCTTTGTTAGGGGAAATCCATCTCCTGGTACTGCACTGCTCCTGGCATGGTGAACTGCAGAAAACACCAACCCATATGCACCACAGGGGTCAAAAGCGTGGGTGATTTGGAAGGGACCTCAGAGCCCACCCAGCCCCACCTTGTACCATGGGCTGGTTGTCCCCCACCAGATCAATCTGTTGAAGCATTGTTGATGAGTTCAGGCACAGGCAGAGGCTGACAGCATGGTGCTGGCACTCACAGCCTGACACTTCCCTTCTGTTCTCCGCATCATTTGGGTTACAGAAACCTCTCTGCTGCTCCTGGTCTTTCCGTACGGGGCGTTGTGCCTCAGGGTCCAGTGGTGTGCTGGCAGGTGTGGGGAGCTTCTGGCGTCTCCCACTACCTTGAATGTCATCCCCTATGTCCCTACACCACAGGATCATGGAATCGTTGGGGATGGAGAGGACCATTCAGATCACCCATAAGCGAACACCCACTGCAGTCGTTACGCTCCATCACACTCTGATCTCAGTGTCTCAATATCAGCACTGCGCCCATCAATGGCAGGGGTGCACTGCAGTGATCACAGAGCCACTGGGGCTGGAGAGGAGTTCTGAGATCCCTGTGTCCTATCATAACCATCCTCCTGTCTCCACTGACCACGTCCCCAAGCATGGGGGTGTAGGAAGCAGCACAGGACCCATAGCATCGCCCGTCCACCTTTGGTGTGCCCTCTCCTACCCTCTGCTCCATTCCAACACAAGGTTGCTTTCAGCTCTCATTCCTCTCAGCTGTTTTTGGACCTCATAAAGAACACTGCAAAAGCTGCTGTTAATTAACATTCCTCCAGCTGCCCCCCCCCCCCCCTCCTGCTGCCCCTCCTTCAGCCTCTCTCATTTTTGTGCCTCCCTCCAAGTGGAAGCTCTCCTCACCCCTCACTGTAGGACGTCACAGGGGTGGCACACAGGGGGGACACACGGGATGTCACACATAGGGGTGACACACGTAGGGGCGGCACACACAGGGATGGGACATCACAGGGGTGTGCACAGAGGACAGAGGCCACCCGCTGTCCCTCGGTGACCCCATGCTGGCGCCCTGCGGCGGTGCCCGTCCGTCCAGGCTCCCTTCCAGGCGCGTCATGGGACTCCCAGCAAATCCCCTGGGGCCATCTGATCCCGGGGACGCCAGCACCCAATGCTGCCGGCGCCGCTCAGGGGTTTTCCATGGTTCAAGGTGCCAAAGTTCATTGATAACGGCGCCCGGGGGCTCGAGTGTCACCAGTGCTTGGGGTGGAAATGCAGTGCTGTCGGGATAGGATTGCTTGGAATGATATGAAACTTTGAGTTCTGCTGGTTAGGAAAATAAAACCCTGTATATACTTGGTTGCATCGCTGCTGAGGGATGTCAGCAGCTCCCATTTCACGGAGCAGATGATGATGAAACTCCATCTGCAGCCCCACGGAGACAAATGCCACACATTTCCCAGTAGTCCCGGAATGGCCATCAGATGTGTCAGAGTTAGGAGCCGCCCAGGAGACTGCTCCTCCAGTAGCCCCATTCCTGGAAATGAATCTGCACGCTCCCCAGAGCCAGTGACAATGGGAGTTGCTGTTGGGTCACAGAGTAGGTGACCAGTGGTGTGTTGCAGCCCCACAGACACGCTGGGAAGGGGCGCATGGGGTTGGGGCCAGGGATGTGGCAGCTGAAATTGCCTCCCCTGTGGCCCTCCAGCATT